TCTACTATCTCCATTATAAGTCTATGACAAATAAGACCCATATGTCAGTCTCTTCTACCCTTCTTCCACCCGAATCCCCCATACATCTCCCTTGTTCATCCCCTCTACCTCGGATGTGGTCACGCAGCGACGGGCCGACGGCAGAAGTCGACGGCGACGGCAACTCATGGAAGGCAGATCGCGCGAGGTGACGGCGGATGGCGGTGGTGACTCGTGGGCACGCAGGCGACAGCGGACGCGGGAGGCGGGCCGAGGGACAGTAGCGAGCGGCGACGGCACTGAGCCGGCGGGCTACAGCGTGTGGATCCGCTCCTCGCCGGCCTCCCTCGCTCCTCCCTCACTGCCGCCGCTGCTTGGGCCACGTCCCCATCCGCCGCCGCTCAGGCCGAGCTCGGGCTCCATCCCCATCCGTCCATCGCCGCCGCTCGGGCTCCTCCTGCCAGTGCCGCTCTAGCCGAACTCGCCATCGAGCAACACCGCGACCGCCACCGACCTCGCCGTCGAGCAACGCCTCCACCGCCACTCCCTCCATCCTCGCCCCAATCTCGTCCTTCCACAGGTTGATGCTGGGTAGAGGCGGCGGTAGGAGGCCGGCACCCACCACCGTGCCGTCCCGCCCTCGCCGTGCCACCGCTGTGCCGTCGGTGCGCCCTCCCGCTCTTGTCCTCGCCATGCTGCCGCCACCGCCATCATGGACTCGTGGTGGATTCGACTGGAACCTTTTGATGGGAGAGAGAGGGGGATAGAGTTGTGGGGCCCACGTTGGCCAGTGAGTTTGGATGGCCAAATTTGGCCAGGGAGTGGAGAGATTTGGCCAGCTGGATGGCTTGGCTATCCGGTTGGAGTGGCTATTGGAGCATATATTTTTTTGCTAGAGTTGTTAAATTTTAATTTGGAGAGGTAATTAGAGAGGCTGTTGAAGATGCTCTAAATGGTTGTGTGTTTTTGCTGATGAAAAGCGTCATGTATCTTAAGTAGCTCTATGCATGGGAAAAATATAGTTTAAAACAATAGAAACCCGAAATTAAACTGCTGTAGGATGTAATAGGCGTCTGAGATTCGTTTACTTCATCCAATTATTTTACAAATGGTTGAATATGATAGAACCATTTTACTCATAGTTTTTTTAAAAAAAATCAAACTATGTTTTTATTTTGAAATTTACTCACAGTGAAGTGGACAAATATTGTACGTCCATTGCTGCATCCTTGTGATATTGTGATCCACTGTGTTTTGTTTTCTATTTAATATCTTCATGCATATAATCAAGGTAATCAGTATCGAGATACTAGGTATGATCGTTTTTCGATTTGTATTATCATCGTATCATATTTTGGAAAGTACATATTTTTATATAAAATATATACGGAGTAATATGTTGTATAAATTAAAGCATATAATATTGATTTTGATAAATTTAATTGGTTTTTAGTAAACTTGAGCATATTTATCCATATTATTTTCAATCCACCTTATTTTAAATAATATTTGTTACTCCTTCCGTTACAAAATATAATGGATTTGGGGTGGATGCGACACATCCTAGTACAATGAATCTGGACCGAGAATATGTTCATATTTATTGTACTATGATGTGTCACATTCACCAAAATCTCTTATTTTTTAGACGGGGGAATATGATTGTAGGGATCGTAGTATCGGGATACTATCTAAGATTTATTAGGATGATGTGAAAATAAAAGTAAGATCGAGATACTACGAAAATTAGAATACTAGGTAGGATTGGTATCATTTCGGTTTCGTAGGATCATACTATTGTAAGATACTAGGATATGGATCGGGAAATTAACAATCTTGCATATAATCCCTCTAATTATCCTTCGGGCTTCTGCGCTTGTATATATAGTTGAGACGAAACTCTCCCGGTTTGAAGTAATATATTCATATGGACACACAGCAATCCGAAAGTGTTGTCTCCTTTTGAACACACATGCTTAGGACATAGAGGACCACGACCAATTTATAAACCCCGGCCCTATGGATATTTAATTAGACCAAGTACTCTTTTCTGCCTTTTTCACTGCTGTCATTTAAGAAAAATCACTACTGGGATATTTATCTATGGGGCCAAATTAACCTACATGGATCGGATAAGCCTCCCATAAGGAAATCAGAAAAGATATGTACTGTATTGTAAAGGTGATATAGCATCTTGATCGCCTGAAAACAGTAGGAAAACGATTTGAAAAAAAAAATATCTTGTACCGACACAATTCTTAATTTCCTTGTTCCACAATTACGGCATAGAGCACGACATTACACTGCACATTGAGTCCGACGTGCAGACAGAAACTCCAGATAATTAAGGCCGCAAGATGCACGGAAATGAGATGTGATCAAATGGCCATGTCGATCGATCTCGATCGACCAAATATTTCAGTTCTGTCCTAACTTTAATAAATCCAAGCTCTCGTGTGATTGGCGACCGGTCAGAATGGCCCAACCGTTCAATTAATCGATCGAAACTATCGCATAAATGCATGCAGTGCGATTAATTAGCTTGGTCGCTCTGTTAACTGATTGTTGGCCCAAGAAAGAAATTGATAAAATATAGCGTACGGCAAATTTATATAATATATAAATTTAGGACAGAATATAAAAATTAATTAATTAATGAACGTACGCCAACAAAAAATATTCACATGCACCGTCCTTTCTTCGATGGTACAAGGATATCAGATCGAACTAATTAACCTGTCTCGTCTGTGTGCCCACTAACCTTTTTCTTTCTTTTTGACGTGATGTTATATGACTACTCATCTGATGTATGTTACTAATTTCTTAATATTATCTGATTTAGTCCTGCTGTTTCTAGTGACAGTAAGGGAATTAACGTGACCGTGCGTACCAGCAGCACCGCTTTCAATGTACAAAACATGTCTCGATCCGTATACTATACGTTGCAAACAAAGAAAAACATACAGAAATTCTTAACCACAAAAATATAAATTACGCGATAAAAATGGATTTTCGCTTCTGTTTTTTCATAAATAATTATAGTTCCGATGACCAAAGCTCACACAGATACACACACATCACACTTTCGTCACACCACACGAACACTCTTGCATATCTATCCGGCTGGTACACATGATTGATTAGAATATGAAACACAGGTGTTATTAAGGCATGAAACACCTCTCCAGAATGCAACCTAAGCCCATATGCACTAAAACACAGGTGCACGCGTGGAAATTATCCAGTCACCGATTTTAGCCGCACAACCTAAATATCTACTAGCAATGGATTTTAGCCACCTATGAAAATTATGCAGCATTCCCGCATGCCTTTGGTTAGAGGCAATGAGCTTAATCACTTATAATGTAGTCCCCTGTGAAAACTGTTTTTAGGTTCTTGAAATTATAAGGGGTTGAATCCATGCACCGCCTCTAACCAAAGGCGTGTGGAAATGTTGCATAATTTCTATAGGCGGCTAAAATCTATTGGGTTGTCAGGTTATTGAATACTTCCTTAAAAAAGGTTCTTGAATGCTTGTTTATATTCTCTGTTGATTAATTCAGTGCAGTGCATGGTTTGCACTTAAAAGACACTAATTTGGGATATACTCCCTCTGAGGAAAAAAAAGGCAGCTTTTAAGGATGAATGTATAGCCATATGCATATCCACATTTATCCCAGACATTGTCTTTTTTCGATAGAGGAGTACATGTTCTTCGAGTGAAACCTCGCATCCAAGAAAATAAAATAATGAATACATATAAGCCTAAATATTATTATACAATAATGTCATCACAAGATAATTAAGTGCATAAATTTTCTTGAATAAATGTATAAATTATATATATTATATTACTAAGAGTGGTTGAAAAAGAGTTATCATGTTTGCTCCAAAGGACCATTTGGATTGTGGTAAACCCAGATTATAACGGTGTAGACTAATCTCATAGTTATATATAAAATAAAATTGTGTTCATAAAAACATAAAAAATTGTTATATGCTAATTAAACAATTGTATTTATTTTATATAATCGCATACAAAATACAAATTAATATATGGAAACGTAAGCAACAGTAATAGAAAAATAGATGTAATTATGTAAACATAAGCTAGAGTTACATATCATATATAATTCTATTTTAGTAGTAGCTAGCTCCGCAGAGTACTGCAAGGAAAAATCTGCATGTTTAATTTAATTAATAGTAGAAACTACAACAAAAATTGTGCTCCCTCTATTCCCAGAGCTGCACAATCCTAACACTTAAATTTTATCTCACAAAGATTGTAATTATAGAGTACTATTTATTTCTCAAATCACTCATCATTGAAATTTCTTTTATCTTTCACCCTAAACTAGGGCTGTCAAAAAAGCTCGAGACGCACAAGTTGCTCGAGCTCGGCTTGAGCTCCAAACGAGCCGAGCCCGAGCCTCTCCCAAAGCTCGTGAGCTTCTTCGAGCTGAGCTTGAGTTTTCAACGATTCTAGTAATATATGGTTTTTGTTGTTATTTAATAAATTATTATATTAAATATGTTATTTCTATACCTTGTATTGACGTTATATATTTATTTTATTTTTTTTCTTCTTCTATTAATATGATGAACTAGAAATTAACTATTTTTCAAAAAATTATTCTTAAAATATACATTGTTCTATTTAAAAATCAAGCTCGATAGTCGAGCTCGAACCGAGCCCGTCTGAAAGCTCGAATATTTTATAGGCTCGGCTCGTTGACAGCCCTACGCTAAACTACCCCCGCTCTCTACAACTCCTCATTTAACGAGAGACATCCAAGCCATTTTCATTCGTACTAATTTCTCTTTCAAATGCTATAATTTCAAATTTTTTTGTACGACAGAAAGTAATATACTAATATATTAGGGTGGGGATGGATTTCAGTTGTGGGACAGAAGAAATAATATTTTTTTCCCTTCAGGAACAGCAATTCCCTACTCCACAACAACTATTGTTCCCTTCCATTATTGGCCCCCTTTTCTCATCCGCATTACTGGCCGGCCACTGTATCTAGATTTTAAGTTCAAACCACACCCTCTCTCTCTATCTCTCTCTCTCTCTCTCTCTCCTCTCTCTCCCCTTCTCTCTCACACACACTCTGATCCAGGATTGGAAGACAATCCTATAGACGACTAGATTAGTGCCCCTTCTTCCCCTCCTTGCTCCCTTTAATCCCCCTCACTAGTAGATAATTTGGGATATTGTGATTAGCTTGGAGATAAGTACACCCATGGAGCAGCAGCTTCCTCTTCTTGCACCTGACTCTAAGGCTGCCACGTCGTCCCCCTTGTGCCTCACCTTGGACAACCCAACCTCCACATCCACCTCGCCGGCGGTGCCGTCGTCGGCGCCGCCGCCGGCAGCCGCCTTGGAACCTTCTAGACAATCTTTCCATGAGAGGGAAACGGATGCAATCAAAGCCAAGATCATGTCGCACCCCCTCTACCCGGCTCTCCTCAGAGCCTTCATAGATTGCCAGAAGGTAAACTATATATACTGAATTCCTCACATCCTAAGCACACACATGCATGTGATTAATATAATTCATGGCAATTGTTGCCTCTCTTTCAAATTCTTTTTTCTTCCCATCTTCTTTTTGAATTTATGTGTGTGTGGAACTGGTTTTGATTTTGTGAAACCTAAGGTCGGAGCTCCGCCGGAGGTCGTCGGCCGGCTTTCCGCCCTCGCCGGCGAGCTCGACTCGCGTGCAGAAGACAGGTACCTTCAAGGGCAGTCGTCAGACCCGGAGCTCGACGAGTTTATGGTAATAATAAGAAGATGAAGATCTCTGCATGCTCTCAATTGTCAAATATAGCCAGTTATAGAGTTCTCCCGAACAAAATACTACAAAATTCACCATTAATTAGTACTGTTTAATTTACAACTAACGCCTTATTTCACAAGAAGAAGGGGGGGTTAAATTTGCGCATATATTCGTGAGCAGGAAACCTACATTGATATGCTGGTGAGCTACAGGCAGGAGCTGACAAGACCAATTCAAGAGGCCGACCAGTTCTTCAGAAACATGGAGGCACAGATCGACTCGTTTACACTAGGTGATTATGCTTGCACTTGAACAGTTTTTCTCTTTCTCTTTTCTTTTCTTTTCTTTTCTTTTCTTTTCCTTTTTCTTTTCAGAGATGTGCAGTTTCTGAAAAGGATATATCCTGTTGCTGAGCAGGCATCCTAGTACATGTTTATTTGTTTGTTTCAGAAAACGAACACGCTATATATAGTGCTGCCTATGTAGCGTGCCGTGTGACCTGTTATCTGCGCACATATTTTGAAGTGGTTTTCAAAGCAAAAAAGGAACAAAATGCTTGTTTTGAAACCGCGATTCAGGTGGGCTATGAAATAATAAAGTGAACAGTTATGCGCCATTTATGATGTTTAAAACGATCTTATCCCTTGATAAATTCAGAGCGATGTAGAATGGTTAATTAATGTGAAGACATATAAGCCACTCAGGCATATGCATCTTTTTGTCATAGAACTGCTTAGCAAATTATGCTAGCTAGGGCATTTTGTTTGGACATTTGGAACGAAGAGAGTTCAGAGAATCATATCCCAGAGCAACCATTTCCTATAAGTAATATAAATAGTCTTTTCTCCAATGAATCGATGTCGCATGAAATTATTGAGCATATATACATAGTCCCCCTTTTGCAAGCCAATTAATTAAGAGATCTCCGAAGAGAAACGCACGTTCTAATTTTCTTGAACCGCTTGCATGCATGAATGCCTAGACGTACGGCTCCTCTCTAGAACTCCCGCCACAAATATAACCCCTTTTGCTCCAAAAAAAAGAGTCTGAATTCTGAAATGATCGCATCCCCTTTTAATTAATTTACTTGCTGCTTTCTCTGGCTCGCATGTGGATCAGTTCCCAGGAAATGGGTCCAACCGATGCTGCAGTCATGCACAGTATCACCCTGACGATTCTTGCAACAACTCCAGCTATTTCTCTGTGAATTAGCAGCAGCATACCTGCAGTGTATCTGCAGCTGGGTTGGGAGCCCCAGCTGATAAAGAAAAAGAAGTCCTAGGAAAACATCTGCAGAGAAAGAGAGAGAAAAGTAAATTAATTAAGGACGACACATCCATCACGAGTTCACTGCCTAGCTCTGGACTCATGTCATGCATGCGTTTCATTAATCTCCAAATTAATGAGTGATCTGTGCATGCGTTTACAAATTAATATACATGGATATGATGCATGCATATATGCATAGCCGGCCATATGTACATTGGTCATCAGCGCACACACACAGACACACACAATATATGATAAGTATATGCAGCCATGAGAGATAGTATTCAGAGATAGATCGACGTACGAGCTAGCACTGTGCACGTTGCCGGGCAGTGCAGTGCAGGCCGGCGTGGCTGATATCTGTCTCTGCACTGATCATGGCATGTGAATCCCTGATTGAGATGTTCGCTGCCCGTGCTCTCGTGTTGTCTGGCCGGCTCCGACCGTTCATTAGCCTAGCTTTGCGTGTGATTACTATTGGATCGCATTTGATAAGCCTGTTGCATATTGCAGGCTGGTGTGGGGAGCCACACTGACTCAGCTCTCTTTGGATTGTTTATATATGTACTAGTGTTCAGTACTCCTAATAGGGTGGTAATGACATGCAAGTTATAGGCTTATATATATATAGTATGTACTAGCAGTAATTGGATGGTAATGGCATGCAGTTCTGCTATATATATATTGCTTATAGACTTATTTGGCATTCAGAAAAGGATTTTAATTTATGGGGAAAACGCCGTAAACAGAAATGAAGTTGCTATAAAGCTAGTTAATGCTTTTATTTGCATGTACAGTGATCATGCGCATGCATATTTTTCAAGATCAGTTAAACCTTACAGTACTCCTCTGAGGCTCTAACAGCTAGCTAGGGCTTCCCAAAATCAACATTACACCCTAGCTGATGATCATTCTCGAAAAGATTACATATACCGTGGAGACCATACCTCCAAAATATTGCACACATCTAGCTAGCAGTTTTTATGTTTTGTCAAAAAAAAAAGCTTGCTAATGTGGCATTGCAAATAATTAGATAATGTTAATTAATGTACAAGCTAGTAATGCATATATGCGACAAAGAAAGATGCATGTAGAAGCACAGGTAATGTATATTACAGATCAAAGTTCAGATACTATATCTGACATATTAATTACGTTGTTAGGGCATATACTTATGTGTAGTGAAAACAGTATTCACTTGAAAACATATGAAAAACCAATTATTTTAAGCACAAAATCCATAACGCTGTAAACTTGAGTACATAATTAATCTATAGCATACACTAACTTAAAATTCAAGTCTACACTTAAAACTAGTTATAGGAGAAGAGAAAAGAAATTTATGTGATTAGTACATTTGTCATTTTTATGATCCTTTTAAGTTATATTATGTTAGTAAATTCCCCTTAGGGCTTGTTTGGTTAATCCCCATGAGGAAGGGATTAGAGAGAATTTATTCCACATCTACTGTGGCATGGAATTTTTCCCCCTCAATCCCCTCCAAACCGAACAAGGTCTTACTGTTTCCGTAAACACTGGTAGAATTTGAGCTCTAAGTTTGCAATAAAGGATGGTTGCTAAATTAAGAACTAATTTCAATAAAGGATGGTTTCCATTAAAAATTTATTTCATGTTCATATATTTTGTGTTCATTTTATATAGTTAGACATGCATCTAGGGGGTCACCATATATACCAATTGCATGTCCATTAAATGATATACTAGAAATTCTATGTTGAAAACAAACTTCAAGTATGATTTGATGTGCTTAATTATTTATCCACCCATGCTTGCCCTCATCGCAAGAAGGAGATTTTTTATCCCACAAGAGTATGTCCCTTCTTTTTTGTGCTATAAAAAAAAGTTGAGAATATAGATCAATATGTAATATTTCACTTCACAAATATAAACGTTTGAATTTGACTAATACAAGCTGAGGAAAAACAAATTGAATGTGAATAGTTCTTATGCAGTTATGTTCTAGCTAGAGTTCAGTTTTTTTTTTGCAACTTGTACTCCGTCTATTTTATATTATAAGTTGTTTTCATATATTTTTTTCAAACCTTTTTAAGTTTCACTAAATTTATAGAAAAAAAATAGCCACATCTAAAACACCAAATTAGTTTCGTTAAATCTAGCATTGAATATAAATTGGTAATATATTTGTTTTGTGTTAGAAATGCTATTATATTTTCTATAAACTTGGTCAGACTTAAATAAGTTTAACTAGAAAAAAGTCAAAATTACTTATAATATAAAATGGAAGGAGTATATATGTCGAATTCAAACTTACATGTTTTTACATTATCAATATTTTTATACCTAATTAAATAACCAGCAAGAAACGCGACCGATATATATCAAAAAGATTTCCCCCTGATCGCAAAAACATTACGTGCAGATGACAACGGCTCAGAAGGTGGCAATTCCTCCGAAGACGAGCAAGAGGCCGGCGGCGGCGACATGGCGTCGGCCGGCTTGCCGGAGATCACCAGCCCCTGCGCGGAGGACAAGGAGCTGAAGAGCCACCTCCTGAACAAGTACAGCGGCTACCTGAGCAGCCTATGGAGGGAGCTCTCCAAGAAGAAGAAGAAAGGCAAGCTGCCCCGGGACGCTCGCCAGAAGCTCCTCCACTGGTGGCAGCTTCACTACCGATGGCCCTACCCATCGGTACGACGATCTTGCTTAATTTTGATCTGTGTAAGAAGAAGAAGATGGCTGATCGATTGCAGTTGCTGTGGCGGTGCAGGAGCTGGAGAAGGCGGCGCTGGCGGAGTCGACGGGGCTGGACGCGAAGCAGATCAACAACTGGTTCATCAACCAGCGGAAGCGCCACTGGAAGCCGACGCCGCCGGCCATGGAGTACAGGTCGTTGCAGCCCGCAGGCGCCGCCAGCTACGGCGGCGCTAGCGCCGGCGCTTCCACGAGCGGCGGCGGCTCCGCCGTCGTCCGCGGCATGGAAGGGCAGCACTTCACCGGAGGGGGCGCCTACCCCCGCGGTGACCCGTGATCGATCGATGGCCCGCATTCATGTTTCATTGATCAGTACATGGTGTGGGTTTGGTGTGCTCATAATGTAGTATAACGATTTGGTCACATACATATATACTCCCTCCGATCCCGGAAAAAACCAACCTAGAAGAGAGAACAAGACATTTCCTAATACAACGAATACAAATAGTTGTCCAGATTTATTGTATGCCTCGTCTACTCCTAGGTTGGTTTTTTTTGGAACAAAAAGAGTATGCTGCATATATATACACATATACAAATAGATGCATCTAGCTAATGCCAGAGTTTAATTAGTTATAAGGGATGGTGTAACAATCAAAATGTTTCACTTGCTAACGCACATATATATGATTCAGTCATATATATATTATCCACTATGCATGGTAATGGTATACGCATCTATAAATTATATACAGATTTTTTGTGCCGTTGTAATTGATACACTTAATTTCTAACAGTTTATGTGTGTTATAATCCATTAATGTTATGTCAGAGCAGAGACTTGTGATGGTGTTTTATCTGTTTTTGTTTGTTCATGTGTAGGGTATGTGCGAATATTGGTTATGTTCTTCAGAGAAAACACTTCTATTGTAGTGGGGTGCCAATGCAACAGCGCCAAAAGTCTGACCTTTATCGGCGAAGTTGTCTCCGATGATATTATGACCTGTTTGGATCTAGTGACTAAATTTTATTCCCTATCACATCGGATGTTTGACACTAATTAGAAGTAATAAATGCAAACTAATGACAAAACTCATTCCATAACCCTGGACTAATTCGCGAGATGAATCTATTGAGCCTATTAATCCATGATTAGCCTATGTGATGCTACAGTAAACCTGTGCTAATTATAGATAAATTAGGCTTAAAAATTTTGTCTTGTGAATTAGCTCTCATTTATATAATTAGTTTTATTATTAATCTACGTTTAGTACTTTTAATGTCCAAACATCCGATATGACAGGGACTAAGATTTAGTCCCTGGATCCAAACAGCAACTATGCTAGAACCGATTATTTCGGCAACCTCAAGGTGTGTAAGGAAAAAGTTTATTCATGCATATATACGCAATGAAAATGTTTATTCTAAAACCCCAAAGTTCCATGAAGCTTTAAAAATCAACCACATGAACTTCATTTTTTTTTAAGAAACACACTACAAACACAGGTGGTCAATGGGTGTACACATGAAGTAGGATTTTATATGATGCCGCAAGAAATTATAGATAGAGGACAGTAAGGCCCCATTTGAAACTAAGGATTTTTGGATCAAGGAATTTTTTTAGATTCAAATCCTATAGAAATTTTCTATTTAGCCCTTTAAATAAAGGGTTGAAGCTTTTCCAAATCATATATAAGAAATTCCTAATGAATGGTTCAATTCATAAAGATTTTGGAGAGAAGTTAAATAGAACTCTAACATCTTGAACAATTTTCTCTGAGTTTATCTTTCTCATTCGATTCCTACATTCTTCGTGCAGTCTATTCAAACGATTATGCTTGTTTTTTTTCTTTATTTTGCAATCATCTATTTTACAATTGCATTATTCATGTCAAAATTATTTGTTTCTTCATATTCATTCATTCCCCCAATTATGTATTTCAAATAAGCCCTAAGATGGTGTCTTTGTATCATTGTATGGGCATAGCTCAAACACAAACTAGAAAGCTAAACATTACATATTGGGGTCTTGGGGATGGAATTATCAACACGTTTTTTAAGAAATATATATGACCAAAGAAGTAAGAGGAGATTAGAAGGATAGGGTAATATTTACTGTTGGTCCATTCATAGGCATTATACATTGACACATTAATTGTGATCCATATAAGTTATGTTTATGTGCCATAAATGAAGATGGATAACTTTATATAAAATTCACCATGGGGACTGCCCTAACTAGGCATTATTCAATTCCAAACCATCAAAACCACAAACTATTACACTTTTAAACGTTTATATGGCTGTTTTAATTAGCTGACATGGCGATCTAGGAAAGAGGCTACAATTTTTTTTGACTTAAAATTAATAAATAGCTTCAGAATTTGTTGTAAAACCATCCCTTGCTTTCTCAAGTTATTGTAACCTTTTTTTTTGTGTGAACTAACTATACAAAAACTTGACAATAGAAAACACTTTCGAAATAAAAGCATGAATTTACAAGAAAAAAATTATTTTGCTTCAAATTAATTTTATGTAGGTTTTAAGTACTCCCGTATGCAAGTGCAAATTAAAATTTTTTTTTGAAGCCAAAAGAAGAATTTACAATTATATCTTCAGCAATAACACACAGCAATACACACCACACAATTTTATATGTATATGTAGATATTCACGCTTGCATATATAGTTGCATATTCTTCGCGACAATTATGATATATATCCCATATTTTTGTGAGCGTATATATCATGATCAAGTTAATGATAAAAAAAATGAATTTGACTAGCCCATTATTTAGTTAATTGTTCTAGTAGCACGGCGTTCTGGGCTTAATTAATTAATTATGTAGAATAATAAACTTCATTTTTCTTCTTATTATCACACGGTGATGTTGAGCACGAGCGGCGCGTCATCCTTGTCGACGGTGAACTCCTGGGAGATCTTGGCGCCGGCGGGCGTGACGACGTCGACGTGGTACGCGCCGTGGTGGCCCCGGAACCTGAACTCGCCGTTGCCGTCGGCGCGGCCGTGCGCGCGGGTGAGCCACTCCCGCTTGAGCTGCAGCAGGCGGCGGCCGGCCTCGTTCACCTCCCCCTCGGCGTCGACGAGGTGGGCGTCGTCGCGGCTCATGGAGAGCTCCCAGAACCCCCAGAGCACGACGCCGTCCACCGCCGGGTGCGCGTACGCCTCCCGGAGCATCGCCTCCAGGTCGTCGGCGCGGACGTGCTCGTTCGCCGACGACACGTCCAGCTCCGTGAACCACAGCGGCAGGCCCAGCACGGCGAGCCGGTCGAGCGCCGCGCGCACGACGGCGCCGACGGGCGCGGTCACGTGGCCCTGCAGCCCGACGCCGCCCACCGCCGCGCCCTGCTCCTGCAGCCCGGTCACCTGCGCGATGTACGCCTCGGGCGTCGCGCGGACGTCGACGCACGCGCCCTCGACGTTGTAGTCGTTGACGAACAGCAGCGCATCCGGGTCCAGCTCGCTCGCCGCCCGGAACATGGCGGCGCGCGCGCCGGCGCCGAGCTTGTCCTGGTAGAAGGACCCGTGCAGCATCTCGTTGTTGACGTCGTAGTGCCGGAACTTGCCCTTGTACCGGGTGAGGAGGCCGTTGATGCGGCTGGCCACGGCGGCGGAGAGCTCGTCGGCGGGCAGCGCCTTCACCCACTGCTGCACCGCGCTGTCCACCTCCCAGAAGATGCAGTGGCCGCGCACGCACATGCCGTGGTCGGCGCAGAGCTTGAGGAGGTCGTCGGCGTCGGCGTAGTTGAGCTGCCCCTTCTCCGGCTCCGTCCAGTACCACTTGAGCTCGTTCCCGAACACCGCCCAGTTGAAGTGCTTGGTGAAGAAGTCCACGTAGTCCTCGTTGTCCATGTTGGTCCGCATGATGCACGCGCCCAGCGGGAAGCTGTTCGACACCTGCCGCACCCGCACCTCCACGCCGTCGGCGGCGGCGGCGCCGCCCGCCGCCGCCGTCACCTTCACCACCACGTCGCGCTTGCGCACCTTGTCGGTGAGCTTGCGGAGGTGCTTGGCGCGGGCCTTGCGGTCGACGGGGAACACGCGGAGGCCGGCGACCATGAGGTCGACGCCGGGGTCGGGGCCCTGGACGTAGAGCATCACGCGCGACGGCGGCGTGGACGACGACTCGACGCGGAACGACCCGCCGATCTCGTACCACCGCTCGTCCAGCGCCATGACCTGCCCGCCGTTGAGCCACTGGCTGTCGACGGCGACGGCGACGTTGATGTTCTGCGGCTTGCCGGCCGCCTGCTGCCCGCCGACGCGCACCCACGCCGACACCTGGTACGTCGCGTACGGCGTCACCCTGTCGGTGATGACCTGCGCGGGGCCCATCCACGTCTGCGCCCGGTTCGTGACGTGGATGTGCTTCCCGTTGAGCGGCTCGTCGCCGTCGCCGTCGTCGCCGTCGAGCGGCGACAGCGACTGCCGCGCCATGGGCGGGAGCACGCGCGGCGCACCGCCGTGGACGGAGAGCGCGCACGAGCCGAGCCCGAACCACCCGTTCACGCCGTCGTCCAGGTCGCTGTTCTGCAGGATGTTCGCGCCATATTCCAGGTTCTGCAAAAAAGAATTTAAAAAAAAAAACACGATGACGTACGGGTGCTTTAAGATTCGTGCTCCATCAGTGATGAAGCAGAGTTGGCCGGCGGCGAGGTGAGGTGACTGTCAGTCTGTCACCTTGAAGTCCGGCGCCGGCGCCGGCGTGGCCTTCTGGGCGTGCTTGACCACAAGGCTGTCGAGCAGCAGGTCGACGCCGGCAGGTGGGCCCTCGATGTAGATCGCCGCCTTGGCCACCGTGCCGTTCAGCAGGAACTTCCCCTGCAGCTGCACCCACTCCTTGTCCGACACCGCCGGCGACCTGCACCGCCGCCACCGATCCATCAGAAGAACCGGCGATCGAGGAGAGGATCGATTCGAGAGATGTGTGTGCGTGTGTCGTACTTGGCGACGCTGATGTATTGCTGCCGGCCGTCGGTGTTCTGCACGGCGACGGTGGCCCGGACCTCGCACGGCGACGGCGTCGCGGCGGCGCCGGAGAGGCGCACCGTGGCGGCGACCTCGTACAGCAGCTTCCGCTGCAGCCGCGACGTGACGTCCTGCTGCACGCCGTTCCACGTGTCCGTCCTCCCCGTCGCCGCCACGAAGTACTTGCCGCTGACGGCGAGCACCTTGCCGTCGTCGAGCGAGTCGTGCAGCTCGATCTTGCACCCGCTCCCGGACCAGTTGTCCAGCCCGCTGTCGAACTCCGGGTTCAGGATGATGTTGTCGTCGCCGGCACCGGCGCCGCCATCGCCAACCACCTGCCCCGCGTCGCCGCCGATCGCCATTGCACACAACAAAACTAGCTCGTCGATCACAACCAACTCGTCACTGCTCGTGATCAGTCAACTAATCAACCACGCTTGAGCTGGCTAATTACCAGATTACTGTGATCTGATCGCCATTGCCAAGAACTGGTGACCTATATATAATAACGACGGCCCAAACTCACAAACTCAAATTCTCAAACCCCAGGAAAGTGAGAGGCCAACGAATTACCAAAAGAACAAGAAATGTGCCTGGGATTGCAAGCTACACAAGATCATCAAATTCCCCACACACACACCACACCGGTCTAAATTTCACCTTGACGATCACTTGATCTCCCCATTTATCCATCGATCGATCTCGCCCCGATCCGGGCCGGTTAATCCATCCATCCATCCATGCAGGGATGTGATATGCCTTGTTCAGGATGGTTGCTTCAGCTTAGGACTTGACCCAGACACGCATGGTGCATTACAACCCCGGCCGGCCGTTAGCTTGTGCATGAACGATCCATCTATAGGATCCATCACCGATTAGCCTTGCACCGCACTATACGGCTGCAAAGGACTCTCGATCGATCGAGGAGTGTGGATTCGCAGTGCAGACGTTGGAGTGAAGGCAAGGACGAAGAATTAATCCCTCTGATATACACTTTTGTCACTTTCCATAAGCACGAAGAAGGGGATATTAGCTAGATTGCGTCCGAGCAAATGGGGATTAAGAGCGGGGAGATTACGGCATATGGCAGTGTCAGTGCGTGTGCTTTGCATGCGCGGACTGATCAAGTTGCATCCTAGTATGAATGACTACTGGATTTGGGCGTTTGGCCATTGGTCGGTGTCACCGAAAAGAGTGAGAAATGGATGACGGTCCTGGAGTCCTGGTAGGTTGCTGAACCGGGCAGGTTTTTATATGTAGCTTGTGAGGGGAAAGTCATTTCATCCCTCCAAGGGATATTCCTAGTTTCGTGCATGTTACCTAAATAGTCATAAAAAATATAAAAAAATTTGGCAACATAGATTAATATGAAATATATCACTCCATAAACATGTAAGTTTAAATTCAACTTCTACAAGTTGTAACAAAAATAACAAATATAGTTGCGAATGTGCGATAACTATTTTCAGTTTAATTTGTTATTTTTGTTACAACTTGTAGAAGTTAAATTTGGTCTTGCATGTTTGTGGAGTGATATACTTCGTATTAATCTATGTTGTCATTTTTTTTCAATTTTTTTGATAACTATTTAGATGACATGCAAACAATGAAGGGATGTTCGCTCGAGGGATGAAAATCTACATCCAGCTTGTGAGTAGTGTACAGTTTTTTGAGAATGGAAGTGTTTGTTATATGTGTGAACAGTGGTATAACATGGCTGAATATTCTATACTAGCTGATTCATACCTGTGTTCTACATGGGGTACCTTAAAAGGAACTGCAGGGGAGATGCAGTTTGATTTTGAAATGAAGTTCATGTTTCAAAAGAAAATGAATAAGTAACTTCTTACAGTGGTTTCAGTTTTGACATACATCGATGGAATAAAATTTGCAATACCAATATTAAAGAACATATTTTTAATATATATATATATATATATATATATATATATATATATATATATATATATATATATATATATATATATATATATATATATATAATTTTCTGAAGTTACTAGTATGACACATTCTAGTACTAGAAATCTGAATACATATCATAGTACTACAAATTTGGATATATCATAGTATTACGAAATTAGATAGTAGATATGCAATATTTTATACTTTATTTATTTATTTTATGATGTAGGGAGTACTTTGTAAGGACTTGTATTACTTTTGTTGTCGTCTCCGAGTAGGAATAAGTTCACTTCGACTCCCTTAAAAGTGACCCGAATCTAATCCATGAACCTCATCCACAAAACCGTATAGGACAACTCCCTGAACTATTAAAACGTGTGTAAATTGACTCCCTCAGTGGTTTTGAAGGGCGGTTTCGCTAGCGTGACGGTATTGACCTGGTAGTCCTTCCACGTGGCGCTAACGTGGCATTCAAATTTAAAAATACTAGATGATACTCCGCGCGTGGCGGTGCCTGGGCGGGCCTCGGTTCAATCTTTTGCTGCGGGCATGATAGAGAAATTTTAAAAATGCAATATGGGCGTAGCATTTGCGACAGAAAAGGAAAAAAACTATTACCATATAATTGACTCGTAAAAACTTTATATATATAGTGGTCTGATGAAGATGGCGAGTTCATAAAAGTTGCATGTGATAGGCTTGAGATGACGGTTATGCAACTCTTTGCCAATTATGGATGGAGATTCACAAATAGGCTTCAATAAATGTGTTCTCTTAATCTTAGTTTGGTTTTTTCTTTAATCCTTTGTGGATGATTTTGTTGTTCGGTTAATTAAACTTCACTCGTTTGGAGTGCCAGTTTGTAAAAATTGGTTGTAGCTCTTTGAACAAAGGCCGGGATGTTATATTCTATTATTAAAAAAATACTTTTCCACGTTTAGGACTCTAAAGGCCCAGTTCCACCTCTGTTGATGGCTGTTGGTGTTTCCCTCCCATTCCTTGCACAAGGTTGATGAATGGAGATGTCTAGAACTGAAATAAGGGCATCAGGGCTGAGCTAGGCCGAACATATATGCAGATAGCTATAAGGACAAAGCGGTGGCGTAGTCGAGAGAAAAGCAGGAGATGGCGCTCTCATGAATTGCGAGAGAGCGCGCAACAGTGGATGCAACAATTTTATGGTTCATCTCTGTAGGCAAAATTTGCTACAGAATATTGATCAAAGTTTATGTGAGACACTTAAAGAACGTGTATCTTCTCGTGGACACTGCAAAAATATGGTAATTAGCTGCTGGACACTTAAGGCATTATTTTATTATTTCCGATGAAAACAGAGAGAGAAACATTGGTTAAAGACAAGTTTGTCCATGGGCCCATTTATCAATCTCACATATCATCTCTTTCTCTCCATTATCTCTCTCTTCCTCGTCCCCTTCGGCCGGGAGCGAGGCATCGCCGATGAGCACGATGAAAGAGGGGCGGCCGAATGGCGAGGCGGACTGAGGGGGGCGGCGCGGCGTGCGGTCGCCGAGCAAGAGTAAGAGAAGCACGGGAGGCGCGCGGGCCCGCAGTGGCGAGTCGCGCAAGCTGGAATGGTATCCGACGTGCTCAGCCGGTGGGACTAGCCGAGCTCGGAGAGGACGACACAGCTGCTGGGTGACGAAGGCGCACCGAGCTCACCATCTCTATCCATATAGCAACAAATGAAAGCATGCGGCGGCGCCTGATCTGGGTCGTGCTGCCCACAATGTACTTCCGCGTCATGGACAACGCACACTTCGACAACCTCGTCTGCCAGGCGTTGTTCGGGGACGGCGCATTGGTCGTCGTCATCGGTGCTGACCCTGTCGTCGCCACCGCTGGCGGCAGCGGCGGGGAGAGGCCGCTGTTCGAGCTGGTGCACGTGACGCAGACCCTCATACCGGAGACCGGCGGCGCCATCCTGGGGCTCCTTCGAGAGGTGGGCCTAATGTTCGGCCTCATCAGCGAGGTGCCGTCCCTGATCACCAAACATCGAGGCCGGGCTCCTCAAGATGGTCTCCAGCGCCGGCGTCGACTTCACCGACCATGATGACCGGAACGCGCTATTTTATGCGGTCCACCCGGGCGGGCGCGCCATCCTCGACAAGGTGGAGGGTGTGCGGGGCCTGAGGCTGGAGAAGACGAGGGCGTCGCGCAAGGTGCTCGCGGATTACGGCAACATGGGCAACGCGTGCGCCTAGTTTTGGGCGGTGGTCAGCCGGCGAAGCGTGCGGCACCACTGGCGAGGGGTGCGAGTGGGGCGTTCTCCTCGGCTTCGGCCCATGCCTCACCATGGACACCGTCCAACTAGCCCGTCACTGACCGCTGGCTCACCATTCTCTCCGCCTTTGGCACCCTCTTCCGCGCCCACTGTCTCCTTTATTGCCCGTTGCTGTTGCCGTTTCGCTAGAGCACCGTCGGCACACGCGGTGAGCACGCGCACCAGCTCCAAGCCCTCCTGCTCCGCCTACCCCTGCGTGGTCTGTGCCCGACAATGACGATGAGTCGGGCCGTCTCGAGCGAGTGCGACAACGGATAGCAGAGGTGGTAGACATTGGGCGACACCACTTAAGAAGAAAAGAGAAGAAAATAGAGGAGAATAAAGAAAGGAGAAGAGAAGCAGGACGAAGAACAGTGTCCAGGGGCATTTCGGTACTTTCAATACTCTTTCTCTCTTTGTTTTCACTGGAAATAATAAAATAATGACTCAGGTGTCCAGCAGCTAATTACCACATTTTTACAGTGTCCACAAGAACATACACATTCTTTGGGTGTCTCACAGCAAACACCACAAACTTTGAGTGTCCTGTGGTAAATTTTGCCATCCATATATTGTTGAATTTTTTTTTAAAAAAAAACTCTAGATTGATGAATTGGGGAACCGTGGACTGGGAACCTTAGATAAAGATAAAGATAAAGATGAAGATGAAGATTAAGTCATTTATGCAAAATGATGTGGTAATAACATATGATTGATTGAGTTGAAAAATGGATTACTCTGATATTTTAGAGAAACTTTCATATAAAAAGTTTTCGCACGAAACACACAATTTAACAGTTTGAAAAGCATGCTGTCGGTGACTTGGGACCGGGAGTATCATGACTTAGAGACTTGAGGCAGACACGATCACCCACGTGGCCTAACCCCCTCGGGGGGGTCGGGCCCGAGGGTGATACGGCCGCCCTTCTCTTTGTCTCCCCGAGGGTTCGGACCGCTCCCGTCTCGGCCCCGAGGGTCGAGGCGCCCCGACCCCTTGTGGGTTTTGCGCCGCGTATATGGGGTAGGTGAGCATAGCGGGGCTCACCTAACCACATTTATTGCGGTTTGGACGAGCGCGTCACGCCACATGTAACGCAGTGCAGCGCGCTCGTTTATCCGGTTAGTGACCAGTCACAGACCGATCAGATCGTGGATTAGGTGGCGACAGGCGGTCTGACGCACGCCTCGCCCCATCCCGTCAGGACGAGAGCCTCCAAGCACTCGTCCCTAGCCGGAGCCGGCGTGTTAGCTCCTGGAGATGGCACGTTGGTTCCGGTCAGATATATGCCAGGCTTCATCCTAATCATTACAGGCAAGATATTGTATGAAGAAGGGCGAACATGCAGATTGATAAACTGACGCGTGGTGGACAAGAATGACCGATTTGTGACCGGTCTGACACTGGTCATGTCGTCAGCAGACAGCCATTTTCCCACGTCGCGCCTGCTTCCGGCGGAAGTGGAGGTAGGTATGGGCTGTGACAGAGCGTGGGGCTCCTCACCGGGAGACCGCGCCGGCCCCCCTTTGCCGGTTCGGCCGGGGGCCCTGGGTGAGATTCTAAGCTCCTAGTCTTTGTGTGGAAGGTTCGCGACAATGGAAACACACAAGACACGGGCGATGTATACAGGTTCGGGCCGCTGAGAAGCGTAATACCCTACTTCCTGTGTTTTTGTGGATCTATGTATGAAGAAGCTACAAAAGAGCTGGAGAACCAGAGAGCTCTTACTCTCTCCCTCTCTGATCCTTCTGGATCCGAAAATCCTCCCCTTTCTAAGTGGGCAAGGTCCTCCTTTTATACCTCAAGGGGATACCACATGCACCATCTCTCTTTTTTTTGTGGAGACTTATCCTATCTTTTCATAAACAGACGGAGACTTGTATGGTTGCCGTCCGAATGACCTTCTGATGGGACAGCCCATACCTACCTCCACTTCCGCCGGAAGCAGGCGCGACGTGGGAAAATGGCTGTCTGCTGACGACATGACCAGTGTCAAACCGGTCACAAATCGGTCATTCTTGTCCACCACGTGTCAGTTTATAAATCTGCATGTTCGCCCTTCTTCATACAATATCTTGCCTGTAATGGTTAGGATGAAGCCTGGCATATATCTGACCGGAACCAACGTGCCATCTCCAGGAGCTAACACGCCGGCTCCGGCTAGGGACGAGTGCTTGGAGGCTCTCGTCCTGACGGGATGGGGCAAGGCGTGCGTCAGACCGCCTGTCGCCACCTAACCCACGATCTGATCGGTCTGTGACTGGTCACTGACCGGATAAACGAGCGCGCTGCACTGCGTTACATGTGGCATGACGCGCTCGTCCAAACCGCAATAAATGTGGTTAGGTGAGCCCCGCTATGCTCACCTACCCCATATACGCGGCGCAAAACCCACAAGGGGTCGGGGCGCCTTGACCCTCGGGGTCGAGACGGGAGCGGTCCGAACCCTCGGGGAGACAAAGAGAAGGGCGGCCGTATCACCCTCGGGCCCGACCCCCCTCCCCCGAGGGGGTTAGGCCACGTGGGTGATCGTGTCTGCCTCAAGTCTCTAAGTCATGATACTCCCGGTCCCAAGTCACCGACAGCAGCCCCCGGCGTTATGCCAGGGCGATCGCCCTCCTCGAGGGAAGCGGTCGGGCGTAACGCCACTTCCTAAGGCCTGGTGACAGGTGGGGCCGGTCCAAAAATCGGGACAAGCCGGTTCGTTTTTCCTGGAGATATGGTGATGGCGCTTCGGTCGGCGAGCGTAATTAACGCGCGCACGAGATGTTCCATCTCGACTGCCACAGCCGCATATCCACCTCATGCATCGCAAACGGGCGAATGGGATTAGTGGAAGCGTGGGCGCGAGAAACGAGGAGCCGGGCACAGCGTTGGCAAGGGTATAAAGTCGCCGAGGAAGAGATTTGCTTCCTTCCTCTCGCCATTATTCCCCTTGTCTTCGCCGCTTGCGCCCTAACTCCTTATTTCCTGTGCCCTTCCTTCGCCACACGCGCTCGCTCTCAAACATCTCTTCTTCCGGCGTCATGGCACGGGGCTCCGCTCCGCTTGACGGTAGCGTGCTGCCGCCTTCCCGCATCATGAGCGAGAGACAGGCCGGGCTGCCGCGCCGCTTCATGCCGGAATCTGCCACCGGCCGGGAGATAGTCTCGCTGGGCGAGGGATGCCCGGCGCCACGCTACCCGGGGCGGTCCGTCTTCTTCCTCCCTTTTGCTATGGCAGGGCTGGTTCCGCCATTTTCTTCTTTCTTCATGGATGTTCTGGAGTTTTACGATCTCCAGATGGCGCACCTCACCCCCAACGCGGTAATGACATTGGCCATCTTCGCGCACCTGTGCGAGATGTTCATCGGGGTGCGCCCATCCCTTCGGCTGTTCCGGTGGTTCTTCACCGTACAGCCGGTGTCGCCGCCGTCAGTGATTGGTGGTTGCTACTTCCAGCCGCGGGGGCCGGTGCTGAACCGCTACATTCCCTGCGTCCTCCGCAAGAAGTGGGATGACTGGAAGAGCGACTGGTTCTACACCCCCCCTCGCCGACGAAGCGCGCCTCCGACTTCCGAGCCAGCCTCCAGCGCAGGCCTCCAACTGGCGGGCGCCGGTAGATCTGGGAGATGGCTACGACGCCGTCCTCGACCGCCTGGCGGGCCTGCGATCCCAGGGGCTCACAGGGGCCATGGTGTTCGGCGACTATCTTCGTCGCCGGATCGCGCCACTCCAGCGGCGCGCCCGGGGCGCCTGGGAGTACACTGGGTCCGAGGACTGTATGAGGACTCACCAGGGAGTCAGATGGGACTGGGCTCCTGAGGACTTCAAGATAGTGGTCCAACGGGTGCTGAATCTCAGCTCCGTGGAGGCATCCCTCATTCCTCAAGGAGTCCTCCCCCTCTGCAGTGATCCAGACCGCGCCTCCATCCTGACCATCATGCAGGCGGTCGGGGCGTCGGAGGAGCGGGCTCCTCGAGGCCACGATGGCGCGGGCGGGAGCCGCAGGGGGGAACAATCTACCCCGGGAGGGGGTCGTGCTTCTGGGCCCTGCGACGGGGGCCCGGGGAGCGGCCGCCCTGCCGACGCCCGGGGGAAGAGGAAGCAGGAAGGAACCCCTCCCCCATCTCCTCCCCGAGGGGGCGGGGCGGCGCGTGCCAGCAGCAGGCGCCCGGAGGGGGCCACGCCGACGTCGCAGCCCGAGGGGGAGCGGAAGAAGAAACGGCCCCACAAGATGGGGGGGACAGAACCATCTCGGGGAAACCTTATTTCCCCTCCAAGGTGGTCGTTTAACCGACCCCCTCGCAGGTTCGTCCCACGCCCATCGTGGCCGTATTCATTCCCTCAATGCGAGTTTTCACTCATCCATCTTGTTTGTCTTCTGGTCTTTCTTCTGTTTCAGCGAGATCCCGTCGCGTCCCTCCCGCCATCCCAAGTCCGGCCAGTCTGAGGCCGAGGACCCGGCGACCACAGAGGCTCGGAGGCGGGAATCTGACCGGCGAGAAGCCGCGGATCGCCTACGGGAAGCCGAGGAGGCCGCCCAGGTGGCCGTCCGAGCTCGCCAAGCTGAAGAAGCCGCTCGGGAGGAGGCCAGACTTCGCCAGGCCGAGGCGACGACATCCTCCGAGGCGACCCGTGAAACTGACCGGCAAGAGGCCGCGGATCGCCTTCGAGAAGCCGAGGAAGCTGCTCAGGTGGCCGTCCGAGCTCGCCAAGCTGAAGAAGCCGCTCGGGAGGAGGCCAGACTTCGCCAGGCCGAGGCGACGACGACTTCCGAAGCAGCTCGCGACGAGGCCGCGGGCGCATCGCTTGGGCCCACTCCCTCGTGCGACGCTCAGGACAAACAAGGTCCGGGGGACATCCCCGAGTCCGGCACGTCCATCGGTGGGCCAAGCCGCGCGGCATCCTCTTCGAGGCGGCTCTTCCCCACGCCTTCCGTTGCTCCACTGAGCGCAGAACCTC